ATCCATCCATCTATCTATCCATCTATCTATCTGTCATTGGGCCATGGAACAACCCTGTATTGTTGAATGTGCACCTACTCACCTTTCAGTTCTGCAGAATACTCCATTGGCGCTATCCACTCATACTCATACATGCGTTTGCTGCTGGAGGGGATCATACTGAAGAGGTCATCCGTAGCGGCCTGCGAGGACTCATCGTGTCCGGAGCCGACGCTGGTCATACCGCCGTCAGGCCACAAGTGTAGCGACTGTGAGGACTCTTGCTCCAGACGAGCCTCCCTCCCTCCGCTGCTATGGCTACTCTGCTCTCCATCGATATCACCACTGCCCCTGGAGTTTTTGTCCTTCATCAAATAGTCACAAATTGCATTGATGTTCTCCTTCTTAATGCCGGACATGACACCTTTGGCTCTCCTGGTGTCGGTGTTGTTTTGTTTGTTGAAGTCCGCCTTCTTGAAGCCTGTCTCCGTGCCTGGCTGAGCAGCGCCGGGAAAACACTCCCTGCTGTCCTTCTGGACTCCGTCCAGTCTCGCCTTCAACACTTCGATCTCCTGGCTCTTCTCACGGAGCTCAATTTTTAAGACTCGTATTCGGATGCTCACCATCTTCCGGATCTCGGATAGTGCGGTTTCCAGCACCATGCTGATGTTCCTCCCGAGGTGCTCAGTGATGTCGCTCACGGAGCACAGGAGCTCTTCGTCAGGCTCCAGCTCTACGAGGTCTGCGTCGGCTCGGCCCAGTGGCCCTGAAGGCTCCATGAAGGTACCGTGAAGTTGACTAATAGTTTCAGCAGTACCGCAATTTCTTCTCCGAATCATAAGTTATTAGGTTTCAAATGGTGGAGACTTACACTAGAGCTGCTCAAGCGAGCTAATGGTTGATGCTGAACAGAGCAGTTAGCTTTAGCACGAGTGACATTGGCTGTGAAACCGCCCTTTCAAAGTAAAAGCACAGTACTGTACCCTCGTAAAATAACGAAATCAAATCTAACTAGTTAGTTTGAAGCTGTTAAAAAAACAATTTCCATAAGTAAAATAACTGTTATTTGTAAGCAAGTGTGAGTTTTAAGTATGGTATAAATGGAGAATGCTAAAAGATAAGTCGACTTCAAAAGTGACACCGGATGTTACTGCAGTCTGTCAATTATTCTAGTTCTTCGATTTATAGCTAGCTATACTCAGTGCTGTCATATCTCTGTTGTCATCATATCTTTTAAGGCAGGAGCCTTAAAAGTATTCAATAGTGTCATCATATCTTTTAAGGCAGGAGCCCCAAACCCATTTTCACTGAGGGCTAAATTAGTATTCAATAAATATTCTGAAAACTCAAATAATGGCAGTTTAACTGACCATAATATTATGACTTTTCTTTTTGATTTGGAGTTGTATTTTAATGCTCACCACATAAAAATAAAAGGTTGATGATTGTTTATTTTATGGAAACCAAGGAGCCAAGGGACCATAAGGTGAGCCTTGTGAATTTTCCCAGTCAAAGTCTTTTTTTTTTTTGTCTAATTAAAAATATTCTAACATCACATGGAACGCAGCATCAGTTGCTTCCAGCTCTGAGATGATTAAAATGTGAAAAAATGATTTTAATTATTACAACAATAGCTGTGTCTGAAATTTAAATTAAAGTGTTTCTTACAGTAAAAATGGAAGCTGACTTGTATTTTTATTATCTGACCCCTACTCGTATAGTACCCCCTCCGCCCATTGGAACCTCGTCCGTGGTACTGCTGTGGAAAGATTGGCTGCCGGCTCGAACTTTTAATTGATAGCTGTTTATTCAAATTTTCTTACAAAAATGTAATTGGTCTAAAAAGAAAAAGGTACCATAGGCCGGCAAAATGTGTACAGAGAGCTTTATTGAGTCACAAAGTCAAAGCCCGCTGGACTGGACTTGTAATGAATTGAATGATCTCCCTTTGCTGACGAAAGAAAAGAATTAGAGCGGAATGGCCAGGTATTCTGGCGCCCTCTGCTGACCAAAAATATAATTTAAATTTTATAATTTACATCAAAGCTTTGCATATTTATAGTTTTAAAATGTCCTAGAGTTTTCTGCTTGGTTTAAACACTATAGTAACTATAACACTATAGTATGTAGGGCACAAACTTTTGTTTTTAAACACTTGATTTCTTTTTTTCCCAGCTTGATACCATCTTTTAAAACATTACGGTTTTAACTGTAAATGTCCATGTGCTTATCCTTACCGAAGAACCACTGCCACTTTTAGTTTAAGCCTTTCTTATTATTGTGGGTAATGACTAAATAAAAATTAAAATTAAGTTGCCTTGTTTGTTTTTTCTTAAAATACTGCATAGTATCTATGCAAATATTTATTGACCCTATTACTACTGCATGTGTATTTCTATGGTGCTGATTTTTGTTCTGCCTGTTTGGAGTTGTTACAGAGCTACTGAGTGGAGCAGAGGAAATGACAAACCCTTTCCTGGTCATTTGAAAATATCTGCATGAGACATGCAGCAGAAAACAAACTGTTAAGGAAAGTAAAGAAGGTTTTTTAAAAATAAAAAATAAAAAAATCCCCAAATAAAGCAAAACAGTCCATTTACATGGTGAACACCACAAAGCCCTTACAGGAGGACTTTATATTACACAGCCCTCAGATCATTTTTCCCCCCAAAATACAACAACACGGTTGAATGCTTTTCTTAGACTTTAGCTTGTCAAAAACTAGCAAGCGTGGGTCTGACCACTGCTTTTTGCAACTGGCTTTTGGACTTTCTCACTTTGGATGCCTCCCTCCCCCAGAACTTCCCCCAGAACTCCCCCCAACGGTCAATGTAGCTGCAGAGTAAGCATGTTAGCAGGTAAGCAGGTTTCTGAGAGAGCATGTGACTCTTCTGGACTAAAAAAAAACACTGGACTGGACAAGTCAGCTTAGCAAAGCCTCTACTTCTCCACTAACTGAAGAGACCCAGCCTGGTATTACAGACTATGTGCACTTTTTACAGAAGTGTGATTGACATCTAGGACTGTTACTGTTTGGCTAGCACAAAATGCTACAGTGCATAGTAAATATAGCAGGTAAACCAGTGTCAACACAAAACAAAGCAAATATACCTTCAAATGTAAGGCTGCCCTTTTAAATAGACAAATAAATCGAAAGACTTTCGGTATGTTATTAAAATGAATTAATGTAAATATGAATACTAATATGTGAGAAAATCTCGAGTATTTGAAAAAATAATAATTTTAAAAAAACAATAAATCGAAAGACTTTCGGTATGTTATCAAAATGAATTAATGTAAATACGAATACTAGTAAGTGGGAAAATGTCGAGTATTTGAAAAAAAATATTTTAAAAAAAGTTTTTTTACCATTGTCGCTGAAGCTTAGCAAAAAAAAAACTTGTATTTGTACAATATAAACCCATTGTCGCTGAAGCTTAGCAAAAAAATTGTATTTGTACAATATGAAAACTGTAACATTTGGAGAAAATGGCATTATGTATGATTTACTGTATTTGTTTGTAAAACTTTTATTTTGAAACAAAATACCGGAATAACTATTGTGCTCACGTCGGTAATTTAGCAGTGACGGTAAAAGGTTGTTTGACTGTCGTGCACCGAGCTCACAGATAACAGTTGTCACATTAATTCTGGCCGACGTCCTCAAAAGAAACTACGAAGAAAACAAGACTAAACGAAGTGAATTCTTCCCCGTCTAAACAACGCAATGGGTATACGTTTTTATCTCTCTTTTTTTTTTAATGTACTATTAAGACTTCTGATTGTGTCTAGTTAAACATGTTATTACTTACCAGATTAGGTTTTTTTTACTTTTAAAATATGGGTGAAACTTCTTAAAAGTTAAAAATTTAATTGAGGTTTAACTATAATGTACGTCACAATATTTAAAAAAAAAATGAAACTGGTGCAGATAAACACAATGTCTATAATATGTTGTCATTTTGTCAATTTTTAAGATTGGCATTAAAGATTTTCATGCTAAATTGCCAATCATTTAAAATGACGATAAAATAAATGGTCGGTCATATTTAGTGTGTCATATTTTGGAACACCTTCTTGATTTAATGCTGTACGCATATTGAAAAGTAGTCCCAGGAGGTGGCAGTAATAACACATTGCAAAAGATGCCACAAAAGAAGCGAGGTAGATGTTTCTGATAGAATGTTTAATATTTAAACTTATATTAAATTAATATATATAAATACTAAAATATTTACAGTGGAATATTTGGAGAATGTGAAGTAAAGTGAATGATGGTTTTCCTAATTACGGTTAAGGATTCAAAGTGTGTCATGGAGCCTAATTGATCAGCAAAGCTATTAGCAAGCTAGCTGTACGCTCGCTAGTTGAAATATTTTTGTCTTTATGATGACTAAATGCATTTCACCTTACTAATTCTTAAAACAAAAACACAAAAATATACCTAAAGAGATGATTTTTTTGTTTCTGCTAACTGGTCCTCAATGTTTTTGTGTGTAATTATCCATGCGGTTCCTTTGAATTCCACACAGGAAATAGTATAAAAAATATTTTTTTTGTAAAAGAGTAATGTAGTGAAACGCTGCCTTGTGAAGTTTGACCTTCCATTTTTTTTCAAATGCAAATAAAGAATGGTCACAATGTCAAATTTTATGATTTCAGTCACCAGTTAAGATCAAACATTAGCTGTAAAGAAAAATGTGACCGGTGGCAAATCACGTGAAAGGGACACTAAGCCAGATTATAATCTAACTGAGATCCACTGTATCATTAACAATTATTTAGACAATCCAAATAATGTTTTAAAGTAATTGCAAGATTATTTTTTTAAATCATATTTTTTCAATGGACTTTGGTACTGAAGCGGAATGTGTAGAAACATTTCTGGTCAATGTGAGATTTAAAGCAAATATTTGCAGTGGAAGGATTGCCATTTTTTTTAATCTGCATAGCATTTTGGTATTGAATCTTTTCTATGTTTTATTCTGTATAATAATCATTTCCTCCTAAATTCCCACAGTGAAAAAAGTTGAATCCTTTGCTATTGCTATTTCGAAAAGATCAGTACATTCCGCCGCTAACTCTGTGTGCTGTGTTCAGCTGTGCCACTGCTGTTGAATGTTGTCAGGGGTCCCGAGCGCCTTCCTGCAACTCAACAATATCAGGAAACACTGCTGAGGAAACTACACACTTTACAGAGTGACAGCACCAAGGTCAACACTTTGTTTGCGGTAAGGCATGCTCTACTAACTATCTGACCTTTCAACCTTTGCTAGGACTACAAAGACTGAAAGCCAAAGCTGGAAAGCTGAATCAATATTTTACACAGGATTAGCCTGAGTTCATGTCCGTCTCATTCTGGGTTCCTTCTTAGTGTGAGCTCAGCAACTATGGAGCTGATCATAAAAGTAAACTAGTATTTAATGGCTGTCATATGACTCCGTTTTGTAAACTAGTATTTAATGGCTGTCATATACCGGTAACTCAGTTTAACCCAGTGCTCTTTTGATGAAGTCAGCATCCCTTATTCAAGATAACATACAAACGAAATGCAAAATGTTAGTGAAAATGTAAGAGCAGGTTAGAGCAGTGTTTTTCAACCTTGGGGTCACGGCACCAGTTGGGTTCACCTGAAATTCAAATATGGTCACCTAAAATATTTAGTAATTACGAGACATACTGAAGCACTATATACTTTCTTCTATCTTTCAAATTTTCCCTGTGGCCAGTTTAAGACACTGTAGTAGTCTTTTTTTTTTTCTTAATTCATAGTTTGAGCGATTGTTTGGTATAAATCTTCAGCCTCGCAAAGACAAATGTGCCTAATCGTTTAAGACACTGTAGTAGTCTTTTTTTCTTTTCTTAATTCATAATTTGAGCGAAATCTTCAGCCTCGCAAAGACAATCGCGCCTAATTGTACTTACATCTATTCCTAGAGTGTGACCTAACTTGATTTTCACTGTAAGTTGGAACTTATGTACTCGTGTACTCAAGTCAATCACCTATGCTAACGTAGCGGTAACATCACAATCCAGGACATAAAAAACATCAGAAGAGTCTGACTTACTCTTGGGTGCCATAATAAAGGGTAAAAACGTAACAAAAAAAGCAAATGTACCACCATCCAACATACGGCACGCAACCGGCAGAATGAAAACGAAGTTGTCTTCCAACTAGCTCACCAACTAGTTCCCATGCGAAATTTGTTTTCACGCCGTATGTCAGAATCATGGTACAAGACTTGAAAACGCCAAGACCATGAAACGCCGTAGGCCAAGGAAGTAGTAAACCACCGACCTCGTGTAGCACTTTTGTGGTAATTGTGTTTTAAATAAAGGCTAGTTAAGTTTAGTGATCAACAAGCCATAAGTATGAATGTCAATGTCAGAGAGTACTGCAGAAAAAAATATGGGAACCACTGCTTTAGGCTGACTGGACACAGTTGATTGACCCTAGCTATGAGAGATCAATTATTAACGAATTAGTAATAATAATGCGTGACAATGACATAAGCTCTTTTTGGCTTGTGTTAAGTAAAATACTTCCTGCTGTTGCCCTAACACAGTGGTTCTCAATTATTTTCTGTCATGCCCCCCCATGGGGATAGAAATGCCTCTCCGCCGCCAATTGAAATACTATTGAGAACCTGATAAAATGTATAGTCTTATCTGTACAAACCATTGAGTTGCTGCCACCTAGTGGCTGGGGGCTTTTATCATTCAAGCATTGTGCTATATTCCATTGGAAGCCCCTCACCAGAGAGAGCTCAGTTTGAGAACCAACGAGTTAGACACTTAATAAAGAGAATTCTTTAGTTACTGAAGCTTCTAATCTCACTGAAAGATGTCACTGAGTCTTATATACTGAGCTGATACATCCAAACACAATGTGAAATTAACTTTTTTTTGGGTGTTTTTTTTTTCATTGTCTACAGGAACTGTGTGCTCATGTCACCTCCATCAACAGTGAAGAAAAAGTTATTATCATCGGCTTTGAAAACTTTGAGGAAATATGGAAGTTTTGCACGTATTATAGAGTAGGTATGTGCAGATCTCAGTTAAACAGTAGTTTTGTTTGTTTTTTTTAACACTTTCTCCAGGCAGACAAACAATAAAACAGAAAAACGTATACTGTGTTGATTGAGAAACGTGATTTATATTCATTTTTCTAGGTTTTGTGGGTCATTGTCTGGAACATTTGCTGCTTGACGACCAACTGTGGCTTGAATCTTTCGAAGAGGACATTGCAATTGACGTGTCTATTCCAGAGGAAACACTAAACCGTGTCTATACAGGCCTCCTCATGCAAGAAGGTATGAAAAGGTACTTGGTATCCACTGCAACAGTGAAAGAATGTAATAAGAATATTCCTAGCTCTAGAAGCGCATTTGACACTGTCGACCATAATCTCTTATTAAATAAATGCATACATGTCAGAGGGGTGGTACTATCCTGGGTTGGCAGTTATCAGTATGTACAGATTAATAACAACTTTAAATCGCAATTTCAGAAGGTCAGTTGTGGTGTTCCCCAAGGCTCAGTACTAGGACTAATGTTGTTCTGCCTAGGCAGAGTCTAAATGCATGGACTCAGGACTGGGTGCTGTCTCCAGAGGGTTAGGGGAGTGGGTGCTGTGGAGAGTCTGTTACGTACTGTCAAAGACAGAACCCAAATGCAGCACTAGAAAGATGATTGGGTTACACAGTTTAAACTCAGTGGACCCAAATGCAGCACTAGAAAGATGATTTAAACTCAATGAAACAGGACCAGTTGTTTATCATGTTAAAAAACTGTCAACAGTTCAATTGATGTATTAAGCCAGGGAGTTCAAATGAGTGATTAAAGACAACATACTGAATGGATATAGGATGGAAATGGACGCGTTTGCCCTGTTATGTAAAGACATCTTATTCATTATCTTTATGATCTGAAATAATAATAATAATTGAAAATGAAATATATATATATATAAAAGGGGTAGGACTTGATAAGTGCTCCTTTTGGGACATGAAATATGTGCTTGTTTGTTTGTTTTTCTCTGGTGAGCTTTAGTGATTTTCCTGTCTTATTTGGTCTTTTACCATGTCTGAATAAACATTATTCTATTCTAAAGTGCAAAATCTTTGTTTAAAAAAATAAACAGCACATTTGTAAGATAAGACACTTGGATGTTCCAGGGCAAAATTGATGCAGTTTAGTTTTAAACCTTGAAAAAAAAATTTTTTTTTCCTCCATCTCCTTAGGTTCATTGTTTGCCTACAGTAGTGCCAACCAAATGTTTGACAGCTCCACCTCTGGTAGGGACATCTATCTGGAGCAGGGAGACTTGGCCCAATTTGAGCCTCCCTTTCTCGATTCGGGTTGGACCGTCCGCAGCCTGTCTGATGGAACCCGCGGCACAGCCCCGAATCCAGCTCTGAAACCAGTTGATCCTTTTCATCAGTGAGTCACTAGAATTGACCTTACACACACATATATACGCTGTCAAATGCTAAATGAAAACGACTCCAGAGTTTTATTTCCGATTGCTTTTTTTAATCCCTCCGGGTACAGATGGTTCCTTAAATCCTGTGCTGAGGCAGTTTTAATTGGAGAATGGAAAGCTGAGATAACCTGTCCCCTGCAGTTTGGTAAGTTTTTCTTTCAATCTTTTAGAACCATTTTACTGACGTAACATGTCGATACGGCACGACTTCAGGCGGTCCTCGGTCTGCGACGTCCTCGACCTACACTGTTTCGTTATTACGTTGCCTTCTCCATAAATGTATTGAGCACGTATTGATCCATCATTCCAATGTACAGTACAGTGTATAAACAAATTTCGCGCAGGAAATGCGTAGCATTTTACACGAAAGATGAATTTGTTTACATTTGCCAGTTGTGTGCCTTACAAAGGAATGTGCTACATTTGCTTTTGTTTGTGTTGGGGTTTTTTTTGGAACTTTATGCCCTTCATTATGGCTTCCAAGCATATGTCAGACTCTACTAGTGTTTTATGTACAATTGGTTGTCCCTCATTTTGATTAAGTGCAAAAAGATTAGATCAAGAAGAAGATAAGATAAATCTTGGTATTTTCTATTAATATTATTTCTTATTTGTCTTAGAACTGTTTGGTTTTTTTTTTTGACTTACCATGCCTTTCTTCTCGCACTTCCAGCTCATGGAACATGTTTAGCCACCGTGGAGTATGATGCTGAAGGTCCATTTGAGCTGAGCCTTGCACAGGGCAATCTTATTGTTATTGTGGGGCACATGATTTCTGGTTTTGACTGGTTCATTGGCAGGAAAGAAATGACAGGGGAAGTGGGTCTGGTAAAGACGAGCCATGTTAAACCAACTACTGACAGTGTTGAGTGAGTACAATATAAAAGCAATAATTTTTTTTTTTTTTTTTTTTTTTTGTGTCAGCTGCATATCGCTAGTGTGACTTCATGTTACTTAAACACACACTAGTGAAGGGTGATACCACTGTTGCTACCATTAAGTAACCAAGATGGCTACTGGATTTGATCACATCATGAATGGATCAGTTCAATTTTACATTACTGCAGGGTGTTGCAGCACAAAAGCCTGCATGTAGTAAGTTACCCTAAAAGTTTAAGTGAAACACGCGCTTTTGTCATTTATAAATTTGTATTTATACTTACTTATACTGAAAGTATTTGATACTCAATCGATGCTCATTAGAAATCAGTACCCCCATCACTACATATACACTGTCAGTGTCCTAATAATAGCAAAAAGAAATGTTGGGGTTATTTGTATTGCCGGCTCCCATTAACATAGTCCCTTATCCATCTATTTATCTATTTATTTTTATTTTATTTATAATTGAAAATACAATCTGATCTTAAGGGTCTCTTATCTTATGTTCATCTCTTCCTTTCACAATTGCAGGACAACAGATGTTTTCCTGGAGAACAACGAGGGGATGTTTCCCAACCCACAACAGGACGACATCAAAAAGAAGGCAGTGGCCATATTGAAGAAGAAATCTCAAAACAATGCTGCTTGTGATTATAAACTAGGTAAGGACAGCATTTGGATTCTTAAACACTTGACATCGCGTGCTCTCTAAATACTGAACTCTCTCTAAAAGATCTGCACTGCAAGCTCCACACCAGGAATTTCTCTATGCAAATCTAACACAGCGGGGAAAATACATTGTTCGCACTGTCTTCAGTAGCCCAAGCATTTCCTTACCAAACAGGTACCACCAACACTTTCAGCAGATTTGCCAAGCTTTCTGGAGGCTAGCATCCAAAAAGCCAGCTACCTGGATATGTTTTAGGGTAGGGTAGTTGGGCAAACTTTTTGACTCACGGGCCACAATTATCCTAAAATTGAACAGGGGGGGGCCGGGTCAGGAGCAGATAGATGGAGCGTTCGTGTGGACTAAGATACATGACGTATAAAAGTCATGGATAAAGGATAAAATGCTAAAATGCTTTTGTCATTTTCTATGCCATCTATTCCTGAGCCAGGCTGGAGATGTTTCCCTGATGAGAAGAAGAGGAAAATAAATATATGTAGTATTTAACCTCCCAACTTGAAAGTAAACTTATTTTATATACAATATTGATAAACAATAACTGATATTGCAGAAATGTTTCCCAAGGGTCATTTGTAATTTTTTTTTTCTTTTTAATAATGTATTGACACATATCTACCAGTAAATACCACCGTTTTTTAATCCCATGTTCTTTTTCTCCTTCATCTTAAAGATAAAGTTAATTACACTGATTTTGAGAAGAACCAGTCAGGTAAGTGTGACAGTCCAAATTTGATGGCTCTTAATTTTGTCTCCGCTTCAATAAGTGCTTCTTAAATGTATTTTCTTTTGCAGGCACTACCTCACATAAAGCTGATACTCAGCGGATTGAAGGACTGAGAGAAAAAATGCAGACAATACTAAAACAACCAAAGAGTTGCTTATCAGATATTACTTCAGCTGATATAAGTCTGAAGGACTCAGTCATGCTTACTGAGCCGGAAACAATCCCTCCATGTTTCACTGTTCACCCGATTCTAGAGGAAAACAACAGTAACAGTAAGATTTTAGCTCCTCTTTTGTCATTTCTGGATGGAGCAGACTGCAAAGTGGAGTTTGGTCTCCTATACCAACTTAACCCAGAAGTCCTCACTTCCTCTATATTCTGCGGTCACTCCTGCGAGGATGAGCTCATTTCCTTTCTGTCTGTTGGAAGGGAAATGGCCAGAAGGAAAAAAATCCTGTGGTCACAGACTCGCCTGTGCTTTTTATTGGGTAAAATCTGTGCAGGAAGGTCCAAGTTCAGCCAGGCCAGGGTTTATTTTGAAGAGACTCTCAGGGTTCCGCAAGAATGCTTCCGGGATTTTAAGCTTTTGGCTAGCACCTACTACAACTTGGCTACTGTATATCTGTTGCAAAAGAATATGGAAAGCTTTTCGGCGCTGATGGAGAGGCTTGTTGCCTTGATAATGGGAATTCCTACGTGCCTGGAGTGTCTGAAGGACACTTTAGTTCTTCAATACTTCCTTAAGAAGGCAGTCTTTTATAACAACAAAACCGCTGAGGCCCGGGCCTGCTGTCTGCTGGCAAAGCACCACTGGACTTGTGCTGAGAAAGTAGTCCCATATCTTGAGAGGCTACTTGTCCTCGGTGCTGAATCTGAGCTACCATGGAATGTCTCTCTTAGTCAAGGATACCTGACCCTAGCACATTTTTACCAGGAACTTGGCCTTCTCCACCTCAGCACCTCTTCAGCAAGGAAAGCTTCTCAGCAACCGACTACTGCACTTAGTGACTGTCTTGACAGTATGATTCTAGTCCTGGAAAATGTGGATAAGCTACATGGTACAATCCAACAGGCATTCATTCCATCACAAGCACTTCCATTTTTATACAAAGCCCTGTCTTTCGCGCTGACTGAACAGGAAGGGGGCAGCAACAACCACGTTCTGAGCCATCAGCTTGCGTTTTGTCTGAGCAAGCAGTTTTATAAGCACAGAATGTTTGATCGCGCCATCGACCACATGAATGTTCTTTGTAGGGACGGCTTACCATTATACCAAATCCCAGTGTCTGAAACAGAAAGCAACAACGTCCTTCTGTGGATGGCATGGTTACATATTGACAACAACCAGCCCAGTCTTGCCTTGGATATATTGGACTTGGTCCTATCTTCCATTCCAGAACACTGCACAACACCTCAAGAAGGTCAGTACCGATGCTCCAATTGGTTTGTCAGGTGTAAACTAGGACTCAGTTATTGAACAATTATTAAAAACAAAGAAATGTAGTGTGGACTATGGAGCGTAAAATTACGCCATGGTGTATTGGTGTGGACTATGGAGCGTAAAATTACGCCTCGGTGTATTGGTGTGTATGCGTTTGTTGTATTTGGATGATCTATCCAGCTGGAACGTTTGTAAATGGGAAGTGTTTTATCTCCAAAACCCATCACATTTATTTAAATTTTATATCGTTTTTTTTTTTTTCTTAACTTAACTACGTGACATATATGTTTCCCTTTATTTAATTTTTTTCTTCTTTACAGCAGCACTATCTCCATAATATAATCATGTAAGAAACCAGTACAGATAACTATACATCTATATATACATTTATATATATATTTTATTATTATTATTATATATATGTTGTTTATATGTGTATATATATATTTATATACATACATACACATATATATACATACAAATATATAAGATAAGTTAAAATAATTATATCAATTATATTACACAATTTAGTGTTAGCGGCATAATAATAATAATAATAATAATAATAATAATAATAATAATAATAATAGAAGAAGCAGAAGAAAATAAAGGCAGTCTAGGTATGCGCTTGTACCAGGTCAACAGTCTTAGGCCAGCTACTTACTGTTTTACGTAAAGGTTTTCATTGTTTAATAAAAGCATGTATTTGAAGTCTTAATGAATATGTAAATGCCACATATACTGTATACTGAATCCATACATTTAAGTATAGTATTGGGATCTGGTTTTAACCATATGATAGTAATCCATTTTAATGCCGATGTGCATGAGGCATTTCACATCTCTCAATTCCTTACCCTCAGGAATTGATCCTATTATTTTATTGTAGTTGGTTTTGGAGAATATGCTGTTTAAAACATTCTTAGACCATCAAAAATATATTTCCATAATAGGGTCAGTTCAGGACATAGCCAGAATATATGGGTGTTATTGGCAATCTCAGTACCACAATTTCTCCAACATGACTTACCACGTGTTGGTCCTAGCTTAGCTGTGGTGTACTGAAAAACCTAGTAACCCCTTTCCGCTTAAATTCCTTTCATGTGTTAGAATTTGTGACAAGGTGTGCTTCACTGCATATCTCCCTCAAAGTGTGCGTTGATATATTTTTGTTGGTCTCTGCCTTCCACCTCTGTCTTTTCTGTTCAAGGTTTAGTTCATTTGTTGATGGTACATTATATTATTAATGTACATATATTAATAATGTAATAATATATTAATATATATATATATATATAATATATTCATATATAAAATTAATATATATATATTAATAATATATATATACATATTAATATATATTATATAT